AATCTCTAAGGCTTTCTGCGTTTAGTGTGAAAGTGTACACTTTCAAGTATTTATCTCAATAAATGAAGAAAAACTATTTTATGCGATAAGTAGAAATATCATTTTCATTAGTAAAATGTATCTGCGCTACTTACAATGAAAAAGTTGCTGTTATTTGTATCTAGAACTGGCACAGTAACAAGAAAAATAATTCAGTTCAGTGGTTTAGTGTTTTATTCTGTTCTTGAGTTCTCGTACAATACTAATTTTCGATAATTAAATCGCAGCGACTCGTATCACGCAGCTCGACTCGACTTGCTGTAATATTATTTTCATTTTTACTTTGTCCAATCCAATCCACTCTTCCGTTAATAGTATATTTATAAGAAGTCAGGAGAAAAACAATAATTTCATATGAAACGCTAATTAAACACATTTTATCACATATGCCATCAATTAAATTTATATTAAAAAAATAAATATGAAAAAATAACTTGAAAAGTATAACAACAAAAAAATAGATAAGAGAGCTTTATAGAAGTACATTGAGAAAATAATAACAACAATTGAAATGCTATCTATCGAATACCTATTTAATAATATCGATCTATATTAATATGATATTATCGCTACGTTACAATCTAACAAGAACAAGAGTCGTATTGGGTGGGGTTAGCAAGTAATTTGCAATATTTCTATCTGTGTTGAAATGCCACATATTTATATGCCACTAATATGCCCAAGAATTGTGTACCTGCTTTATTTGTCAAGTGCATGTCATGGTTAAGTCTTTCCTGACTAAGCCCACGATTAAGATTAAGTTTGTGTTTAAACAAATAATCTCTCTTATCATCCCGAATGTTACTTTCAAAAACTTTTCTTTCGATCTTATTTTTGGATATATGGTATGGAAATAGCACTTAGTACTACTTACAGAGATGACCAAACTTTACGCCTAACAAAAATAACCAACTGAAAGGATGTGTATATGATTCTGACATAATTGTGTCAGAATCATAAAATTGTTGGTGTATGTAGAATATTGTACTCATAAGTTTCTATAAAAAAGTTGATATTAGGAGTATGGATATTTCAAGTTGGACCTTAGTCCTTTCAATGATGAAGTAAATTATTCAATAACATATTCGCAGGCTACAAGCTCAACAGTTGATACATTCAGTTTCAAAAAATTGTTTATGAAAATTAAATAGTAGATATATTTTCAAAAAGACTACTGATATTGGGTATTTCTCAATACTTGTAACAGTTGCATTATTCGCCAAAAAATCAATTAATTGAAGATACTAAAATTTTGTTGTTGTGAATTACTTAATCTTAACAGGCAAATACCGTTAGCTATATTGTTGATTTTATTATATTGTTGATGCTTTTCTATAATCTCCTACATAAGTTTAATATAATCTCTTAAGTTTAAGGTTTTATCATTTCGTACTTCCAAGGATATATTTTTACAATTAATATAATGATTGACGAATCAATCGATATATGCATCCACAACCGATATATGCATCCACAACCGATATATGCATCCACAACCGATATATGCATCCACAATATACATCCAATACGCATCCACGATATAAAGACAGTCCACAAGTAATTCACTGTATTCGCTGTATGGTGCAACATTTGATCCAGTAGTGCTAAAAACTTATAGTTTTTTGAAAATGATCAAAGTGTTATAAAAAGCGCCAATTTTGATCGTTATAGTCTCTTCTTTGGCGTAATTTGGCTACCGGGAAAGATATTTTTTAGGTATATGTTATACAATAATCCTTCATATAACGCGGTAGATTGGTTCCGCGTTATTGGAAAACGCATTATAGTGGTATTCCCGTATATCCCGTATACACAAGTGCAAAGGTACGCGAAGCTAATTATGAACTGTACAAATCCCCGCGTTATATGGGGGAATGCCCGTGTTATATGGGGGATTGAAATTGCGTAATATGAAAACGAGTTATAAGGATACCGCGTTATAGGTGGGAATACTGTAATTATGTGTCAAAAATTATAAGTTTAATTTCTGATTAAAACATTTTTTTTATTTTTATTATTAAGTCGAAGATTTTTACATTATGATCCCTCAAAATCTTTTATGTACCCTTATAGTTTCATAGTATTACTTTGTATTTTATTTCCTTAATAAATTGAATAATAAAACAAATTTACCGAATCTTATTTTTTTCATCTGTTATAAGATGTTTTTCGAGATATTTTTTTTATTTATGTATCTTTGACAGGAAAACTTCTAGCATGTGTTTCAATCTTATCTAGACTTAATCTACTTTTAGCCCCATAAATTTTATAAGATTAAATTCTCAGTTTTGTAAGAAGGCAAATCTAGGCAGTTCTTTCTCAGGAGTCTCAACTGAGTTTTTATTTGCTTGGTTCTAAATTGTTTAAGATTGAAAATTTATGGATTCTAAATGCAGTATATCGACTCATACTTAAGTTATACAGCCTTGAATTTTATCAGGGATGTTCAATTAGAGGTTAGAGGTCTTTGACATTACTTCGAACGATCTTAATCATTTTAATCAATTGTGAGTCCCTGTCTTTTTTTATGAAACTATTTTACTAAAATATTTTATTATTATTATTATTAAGGAGAAACATTAATTTGAACATAATTTATGGAAAAATACAAATATTTCGAAATTGAATTTCAATTTTTCACAGTGTACGTGCATCTTTAAAATATGAGCAATGCAGTAAATTTCACAAACGTGAAAGTGGGTGTACGCAAAACGCAAGAAAGTGTTACCCTAAGCCCGGATTAGCAATAAAAGTAATTATAATTATTTTCATTTTTGTGTAAATTTCGTCTCAATGTTATTTTCTTAATTTCAAATGCAATCAATGCGCTCAATTAGCATCGAAGCTGTAAATTTGTATAGCAACGTATCGAGGCAGACATGCACATTCCGCTCTAAAAATCCAAACTGCAAATAAAAGCAAATATTTTATAGAAATTGCCCGATTCGACGATGAATCTGGGTCCGGAAAGAAGTGATGCATTGTGTTTAGGCATTTGGATGATGTATAATTGCTGGAACGCAGAGTGTATAAAATTGATTGGCAAACGAGTGGAGAAGATCAGTTGTATTTTGAATTGGAATTGTAACGGCTGCAGAAACGAAATTAAAAATAATTAAATAAAAAATTCAAAAAATAGAAACTAATTAAAGGACTTTGAGTGGCAGTGAAAAGTGGAATATTAAATGAAATTTTCTAAATAATAAATAATATATAAAAAACTAAATAAAAATGCGTGTGAATTTCAAATTGTGCACCTTAACCATACTGGTGGCTGCAGTAGCAGCTGTGCATGCAATAGAAACGGATAACACCACTGGGCGCAGCACATTGTTGGATAA